TGCCCAGGCGGGTCTCGAACCCGCGGGCTCAGGCAATCCACTCACCTCAGCCTCCCAAGGCGTGGGATTACAGGCTGAGCCACCGAACCCGGCTTGTTATTTTTTATAGAGACAAGATCTCCCTATGCTGCCCAGGCTGGTCTCTAACTCCTGAACTCATGCGATCTTCTCGCCTCGGCCTCCCTAAGATCTACGATTACAGGCGTGAGCCACCGCCCCGGCCCAGTCCCTATTTTAGTCATCCTCCAGTATCCACAGGGAATTGATTGCAGGACCCCCCCTGTGAATACCAATATCTGTGGAAGCTCAAGTGTTTTATATACATTGGTGCAGCATGAATCCAATTCTTTCCAAAATATCTTTTGTAGCCGTTTCATTTTCTATTTTTTTGATTTAGGATCTAATGAAGGTTAGCATACTGCATTTAGCTATGACTCTTTAGTCTATTTTTCGGAACAACCCCAGGTGTATTCTCCTTTTTTGTGTTTTTATAACATTGGATTTTTCTTGAAGAGTCTAGGCCAGTTGTCTTATGGAACACCCGCGTCGTGGACTTGTGTGACTGTCTCTCATGATCATGTCCAGGAAGCACTTTGGGAAAGAATGCTACAGAGGGGACATTGTGCTCCTCTATTTCATGATAGTGGGAGGCACATGATACCCCGTTGTCCTACTGCGGTGGTGACTGCCAACTAACAACTCCCCCCTTGTAAATATACATCAACCCTTTGTAATCTGTGGGGTAAGATTCTCTTATTCCCCATCAACCAGAGGTTTTACCATTCATTGATGCTGCTTGCCTGAATCAGGTATTTCATCAGTGCTTGCAAGGGGGTGGTTTTCTAATTCTAGCTACCATTTCTTCTAAATTTATTAGCTGGTATTTAAGAGAGACATATTCCTCCCTTGTCTCCTTTTCTTTTCTTTTTTGGTATCACAGTAGTCTCATATTAATTATTTTAAAATGTAATATCTTATACTACTACATAATTGTCATTATTCTTTTGTAGTCTTAAATTATTCCAAATTTGGAGATGCATTTATTTTTTGAGGGATCAAAAATATGTTCCTCTGGCTAGATTATAATATTTAGATTGTGTTTATCAAAATTGGCTTGTAGTGCCAACCAATTTGTTGGTGAAGGCATAACTTAAAAATACAGATTCTTGGACTGGGCACAGTGGCTCCCGGCTATAATCCCAGCACTTTGGGAGGCAGAGGTGAGAGGATTGCCTGAGCCCACGGTTCGAGACCAGTCTGGGCAACATGGTGGGACCTCATCTCTACAATAAATGAAGAAAAATTAGTCTGGTGTGGTGGCACATGCCTGTGGTTCCAGCTTCTTGGAAGCATCGCCTGAACCCAGCAAGTCGAGGTTGCAGTGGCCGTGAGCAGCGTGTCACTGCACTCTAGCCCGGGTGACAGAGTGAGACTCCAACTCAAAAAAAAAGAAAAAAATACAGATTCTTGGTTGTCATATCAGTCTCGTGTATCCGAATCTTGGTGATGTCACGTGACTCCTCTTTATTACGAAGATTTTCAAACATATACAAAAACAATGAGAATAATTTAAAAAATTCTCATGTACGCATCCTAGCTTCAATAATGAATTTTCTTTTTTTTGAGTCAGGGTCTCTGTCGCCCAGGTTGGAGTGCAGTAGCGTGATCACAGTTCACCGCCACCTCGACCTCCTAAGCTCAGGTGATTCTTTTGCCTCAGCGTCAAAAGTAGCTGGGACTACAGGTGTGTGCCATCATGCCCAGCTAACTTTTAGATTTTTTTTGTAGCGAGCAGGTCTTGCTTTGTTGGCCAGGCTGCTCTCAAACTCCTGGACTCAAACAAATCCTCCTGTCTCGACCTTCCAGATTACAGGCATGAGCCATCATGCTGGGCCTAATATTCTGCCCGTCTTCTTCTATCTTGTCACACACATAATTTATCCGTGAATTTGTAGCAAACCAGAGACCTCAAGTTACTTCACCTGTAAATAATTTAGTATGCAGCTATAATGGATAAGAACTTAAAAAGTATAATAATTACATCATTATCATCCCTTACAAAATTAATAATACTTTTTTTTTTTTGAGTAGGAGTCTCACCCAGGCTAGAGTGCAGTGGCACACTCATGGCCATCTCAGCCTTGATCTACTTCGGCCTTCCAAGTAGCTGAAACCACAGGCATTTACCACCACGCCCAGATATTTTTTCAATTTATTGTAGAGAAGAGGTCTCACCAAGTTGCCTGGCCTGATCTCAAACCCCTGGACTCAGGCCATCCTTTCGCTTCCGCCCCTCAAAATGCTGGGATTATAAGCATGAGGCACCGCTCCTGGCAATAACAATTCTTTCTTTGTATCATCTAATATTCAGTCAATACTCAGATTTCTCCAATTGTCTCAAAAATATCTGTCTTGCAGATGGCTTCCCAACAAGTCTATACATTATATTTTGAGTCTCCTCAGTTTTTAAAGTGGCTGTATTCTCCTTGTCCTGTTTTTTTTTGCAACTTTTGACTTTTTGTTTGCTGTTGAAGATACCAGACCATCGTCCTGTGGTATATCCTGTTTTCCTGACTTGGTTGACAACTTCCTATGATGTCATTCAGCTTGCTCCTCTGTCCCCTGTGTTTTCTATAAACTGATATTAGATCCAGTGGCTTGAATAGATGGAAATATAAATCTATTTTTCTTGCAAGAATATTTCAGGGGTGGTACTCTGTATTTCCTACTGTAGTCTATTATGAGACACACCCTGTCTGGCTGTCCCATGTCTACACATAAGATGCTAAGGTGAGTACCTAGGGTCAGGTGGTATTGGTGCATTCTCCCTTTATAAAGTTTCCCAGTGACCTTTCACCTAATGGCTTGAACATTAATGATTGTTGCCTCCACGAAATGGGCAGATTTATTTTTGTTTTAGAGAGTCTTGCTCTGTCATGCAGGCTGGAGTACAGTGGCACTACCAGAGCTCACTGCAGCCTCATCTTCCTGGGCTCAAGAAATACTTCTGCCTCAGCCTCCTGAGTAGCTAGGACTATAGGCATGTGCCATAATGTCTGTCTAATTTTTAAATCTTTTGAGAGATATGGTCTTTTATGTTGCCCAGGCTGGTCTTGAACTCCTGGCTTCAAGCAATCCTCCTCCCTTTTCTCCCAAAGTGCTGGGGGTTACAGGTGTCAGCTACCATGATTGGTCTGGAATGGGAAGTTTTTAATCAAACTCCTCAGGTATCTATTAGCACATTAAAAATGACAAATCATTCATTTAATTATTTTTCCAAATGTTTCCAATTTTTTCTCAATCATTAGACCACCAGAGAAATGGTACAGTGTCATGGGCTAGATATTCTGGGTTCTAGCCCTTGCTCTGCCACTAACTTCCTGTGTGATCCTGAGCAACTGTATGGCCTTCTCTGAACTTCATTCCTCCCTATCTGAACAGGATGGGTATAGTGATCTGTTGGGCCCTTCCTGCTCTACATATTTATTCAGGATATCATCAGAAATTGAGAATGCAGCACTGGCTTAAGGCATCTATGATTGCAGCCACGTGACCTCACCTGTCTGATCATGGGGGGGGTTTCCTGATCAGGAGATCAATGACCTACTGAGACTCCCGAGAGGAGCTGAGAAGGGATGGAGCTACAGCATTGTCCCCTCCCGCTGAGGACTCCGCCAGGAGAGGTTGTTGCGAAAGGTTCCTGGTCAGATCTCCGCTCTGGCGCCATCAAGGCCTGTACCCTGGAGTATGATATTTTCTATGAACCTTTGTTACCCCACATTTCCAGGACAATAAAAACCCAGCCTGCCTACTTCCCAAAGCGGTCGAGATGACCAGGGAAGCTAAGACACAGAAAACCACTTTGTCACCATTTACTTTTTAATAAATTAATTATTATTATTATTTTTAATTTTAGAGACAAGGTCTTTCTATGTTGCCCAGGCTGGCCTCGAACTCCTGGGCTTAAGTGATCCTCCTGCCTTGGTCTTCCGAAGTGCTGGGATTATAAGTGTGAGCCACTGTACCCAGCCACCGTTAGCTTTTTATCAAGTCAGGGAACAACCTGAATATTCACCAACAGGGGAGTTAGCAAATAGATTTATGGTGCACATTCACCCTGGGAAGCATGGTGAGCCTTCAAAAATGATGAGAGACTGGGCTCAGTGGCTCAGCGTGTAATCCCAGCACTTTGGGAGGCTGAGGCATGTGGATTGCCTGAGCCTGCGGGTTCGAGACCAGCCCGGGCAACTTGGCGAGACCTCGCCTCTACAATAAATAAATAAAAAGTTAGCTGGGTGTGGTAGCAAGCGCCTGTAGTTCTGGCTACTTGGAAGGCTGAAGTGGAAGGATCGCTGGAGCCCAGCAGGTTGATGCTGGGGTGGCCATGAGTGTGCCATGGCACTCCAGCCTGGGCGATGGAGTGAGACTCCAACTCCAACTCCAAAAAAAAAAAAAAAAAAAGATGAAGTACAATTCTATGTCCCAATATGGAAAAAAAAAAAGAAAAGAAAAACTAGAGACATATTGTTAGATGGAAAAGCAAACTTCCATAAATTATTCTAAGGGATGTATAACAACATAAAAAAACAAACTGTATTTCCATTCACATACGTATGTGGATGCACATGTAGAAAAAAAATCTAGAGAAATATATACTAGCTTAGATATCAACGATTACCTCTTGCGTAGAAAACGGAATGGGGGATGGGGGTTATTGGGAGGATTCTCTATATAGTTTGATAGTTTACAATAAGAGCATATTCATTTAAAACTTGGGAAACGACAAGGCAGGCCCAGTGACTCACGTCTGTAATCCCAGTTGGGAGGCAGAGGTGAGAGGATAACTTGAGCCCCGGGGGTTCGAGACCAGCCTGGGCAACATAGGGAGAACTTATCTCTACAAAACAAAACAAAACAAAAATTAGCCAGGTGAGGTGGTGTGTGCCTATAGTCCCTATACTGGGGAAGCTGAGACAGAAAGATCTCCTGAGTCTAGGAGGTGAAGCTGTAGTGAGCCATGATTGTGCCACTGCCCTCCAGCCTGGGCAACAGAGTGAGACCCCAACTCTTGGGTAACAAGAAATCAAGATAGAACAGGTGAGGATAATCATCATTGTTTGTTACCACTGTGATGACACCTGTGACTATTACCTTCCCCATACAGCATGGGTCCTCAGCCAGGTGTGAGGGCAGGTTTCAAGGCTGTACATTGTGGCTTCTTCATAGGTCACAAAAGTCTTATGCAGTCTAGGGGAAAGGACAAATAAATGCCACTGAAAACATTTTTGCTAAAATATTTTGCGAAAACAATTTACTCCTAAAGAAGTCGTTATCATAGATCTGTAAGTTAGCATGCAGTGTTCTGTTACATTTCAAACAGTGGTATACGTCACACTTTAACAACTTTCAGGAGTTTGCTGCCTTTTTTTCTTTTCTTTTTTTTGTAGTTATCTTTTTATGCATGAATATTTAAGTGGCCATCATTGAATTTGTTCTTCTTGAACAAACAGTAACTGTGCATTCATGTAGGTCTGCAAAATAGGAAAGGGGGGATATGGCTGGGGAGAGAGGGTGGAGAAGGCTGGAGTGGGCGTGGCCAAGCCAGTGATTCTGACCTTTCTGGGTTGACCTTCCCTCCTTCCTGTTGCCGAGGGTGTCGGGACGTTTATGATGCCTGCCCTGGACCAAACCCCATGCAAAGGTGATAGGCTCCTGCCCAGCACCTTGTAGGATGTGATGCCCGGGTCCCAGTCTGTCCTTTTCTCCTGTCCCTCTTCCTAGGTGACCTTTCTGGGGTGGGGCGGGCCGTGCTGCAGGACAGTGGGTTGCACAGACTCCGGATACACAGTGTGAACTGCAGGGCCGAGGGCAGCGGCCAGGAGAGTAAATGGGCCCCGACTTATCTAGAAACCGGAGGTAAAATCCCAACATGCCCCTCCGATATCCAGAGATGCTGAGCAAGTGTCTTTAGGCATCTGGACCTCCATGGTTTTCACATGTAGGCTGGGTTTGAGGAGGAGACAGTGACCTCGACAGCGAGACATGCTGAGAACACAGCCTTTTGATTACTGCTCACTGAGGTCGACATCTGCAACACAGAGACGGCTCCCTTGCCTAGGACTGGCAAGTAAATTAGCAGATTTGAAAGCTGTAGGTTAGACAGGTACTAGTGACAGGTGCGGGGCATAGGACACAGTAGGGAGGGGTGGAGACTGGCAAACCAGAGCACACGTCCTGTTCTAGAAGAGGTTGATCTGACTTCCTAAAGGAATGAAGGCCCAGAGGTGCCAGATTGTCTAACCAATAAGAAGGCAGAAGTTTGCTTTTTTGTTTTTTTAAATGTGAAACCTTCAGGTTTGTAAGCATTGGCTAAAAAAACGAAACAAAACAAAACTGTGAGCATCCCTCAAAACATAAGTGAAGGCCATAGCCAGCTCTTAGGCCGTTAGAAAAAAAGCCACAGAAAAGCTGTCAGGAATAGCCAGATGTCAGAAACCTGGTGGTGTGATGAGTCTAGCCGGCTCAGAAAGAGATTTGCAAAATGCTTTGGAGTGGAGTTGCATGCGTCTTTGAGGGCTGGTTCTGCCGGTCTTAGCTGTGAGTGCCAGTCCTAGCTATGTGACGAGGCATTTAAGCCTCAGTTTACTCATATGCAAAGTGGGAATAAAAATAGTGCCTACCATAGAGGCTCACCGTAAGGAGTAAAGACGGTGTGCAAAGCTCTTGGCATGGTAACCTGGCACAGTGAAATTGCACAATAAATTTAACTGCTGGGTGAGTATACACTCTCAACAGTGTTTTGGAAGCTGGAGAGTGCTCCGCGGGTTAGGTGGGGACTGGCACACCTATTTGGGTTATGATAATTTGGCTTTATGGGGAGTATTTTTTGACTATCCCAGTTTAGACTTTTGAGGCCTTTCTTCACATTTACAAGGACCTGTTTGGGTTCGCACGTCCTGGGCTCAGCTGAGCCTGTGGATTTCAGCATTCTTTGTTTTTATTGCATTTGTCTTTTCCTTCTGAAACTGTTTTCGCATCAAAATTTCGAATATGTAAGCATTATTATATGGGTGTTTCGTTCATGATGAAGTCACTGGAAAGTCTTTATTTTGTTGCTCAGTAGGTTTTTTATCTTTACCCAGTTGTCCTAAAAGAATTTTGCCTGGGCCGGGCTGGGTGGCTCAACCTGTAATCCCAGCACTTTGGGAGGCTGAGGACAGTGAATTGCCTGAGCCCGCGAGTTCGAGACCAGCCCGGGCAACTTAGCGAGACCTCGTCTCTTTTAAAAATCAAAAATTAGCTGGGCGTGGTAGTGTGCGCCTGTAGTTCTGGCTACTTGGAAGGCCGAGGCGGAAGGATTGCTGGAGCCCAGCAGGTCGACGCTGGGGTGGCGGTGAGCCTGCCACTGTACTTCACCCTCACTCTCACGGGCGAGAGTGAGACTTCAACTCAAAAAAAAAAAAAAAAAAAGCATTTTATATGGAACAAATTACCCTGAGAAGGTGCGTAGATTGATAGGGAGATTGGGATGTGGAGGTTAAAAGGAAAAGAAGGATGTTTCTAAGCATCTCATATAAATACAGTAGTTTATAGAGTGCCTTTGTATCTTTCATACTTTTGTAGAGACAGGGTCTCTGTCACCCACGCTGGAGTACAGTGGCGCAATCGTAGCTCACTGCAGCCTTGAACTGCTGGGCTCGGGCGATCCTCCTGCCTCAGCCTTTCAAGTAACTACAGGTGCGTGCCACCTTGCCCAACCTTTTATCACTTTTGATGCTTCCAGGTAAGGAGATTTAGCCTCAGAGGGGTGCAGGAATTTGACAGTCATTTAGCTCATTAGCAGCAGGGTTGGATCTGGCCTAGAGTCTCCAGTTGGGATTCTTCCTCCACTGCCTCCAAGGATTCGGGAATGGCAGGCAGGGTGGTGGCCTGGAGAAGTGGTCCTGTAAATTGACTCAGCAGTCAGAAGAAAGGCAGCATGCCCTCAGGGGCCCAGAGCGGGGTGAGGGAAGCAGGACTCACCTCTGGCTGAGATGCTCAGCGCAGTTCAACAGGATGACCATGCAGTGCACAGTGAGGACCCCGATGGCCAGCAGGCTGATAGGACCAACCTGGAGTAGAGAAGAGAGACAGGGACAGTCAGCCACGCACGGATTATGCCCACACCTGGCCCGGTCCCAGCTCCCATAATAAAGCTGTCTCTGAGGTGAGAGAACTGCCTGAATGTCCTTGGGCCCCAGATGCTAGGGTTCGAATGGGCTTTTTAGCATCGCTGTAAAGTGGCTGCCCAACCTCTGCTGGGATACTTCTAGGGACAGAGAGCTCACTACCCTACACGTGGCCCATGTATTTTCTCATCTGCCTCAAGTTCCACCCATTCTGAGTTCCTCATTGTGGACTTCATTCCTTTCACATGCCTTAGCCCTCGGGTCCTTGAAGAGGTTTGAGGACCAAGGCTCTTCTCATGACAGTCCTCCTCCAGGGCACAGTTTATCAGCAGGAGCATTATGGACGTTTGGGGGTAGATGATTCTTTGTTGTAAAGAGCTGTCCTGTGCATTGTAGAATGTGTTAGCAGCTTCCCTGGACCTCTGCCCACTAGGTATCAGTGACTCTTCCCGTGGTTGTGACAACCAAAGATGTCATTAGACATTATAAATGTCTGGGAGTGGGGCATGCAAAATTATTCTGAGTAGAGAGTCACTGCTCTAGTGTGTCTCATTTGTCAATATTCCTTTTTGGCTGGGCTCAGTGGCTCAGTCTGTAATCCCTGCACTTTGGGAGGCTGAGGCAAGTGGATTGCCTGAGCCTGTGAATTCAAGACCGGCCTGGGCAACTTGGTGAGACCTCATCTCTTCAATAAATAAAAAATTAGTCGAGGGTGGTAGCGGGTGCCTATAGTTCCAGCTACTTGGAAGGCTGAGGTGGAGGGATCGCTGGAGCCCAGCAGGTCGACACTGGGGTGGCCGTGAGCATGCCACTGCACTCCAGCCTGAGTGACAGAGTGAGACT